TAGAAAGGATTTTGATGAATTCCACCCCTAAGGGGATAAAATAGGGAATGATAGTTGGTGTGAAAATGGGAATGAAAATTGAATCTAGAATCATTGAATCTTTTTTAATTATATTCGGTAAAACGTTTATTTGGGACCTGAGTAACGTATGATAGTTTTTATCTCAGAAGTCCCTCGGGAACGGGAACTATGCGTCAATGCTCTAGGACTCTCTATCCTTTAACCACTGAACTTATTTCATAGAGATTCTGTACAACAGTCGAAGTTTTTATTACTCAAAACTTACGTGATCGGGCCGGGACTGGTAAGAACCCTGCGGGATTTTTAATTTATTGAAATTACGATAAATCATTTCACAATAGGTAAATCTTAATTGGGCACTGAATTGATTCTGATGAATTCTGTCAGAAGGCATTAATCTACGCGGACGAAGTCGCAGGCAACAGCTAGTGTGTAAATTTGCACAACCGGTGGCCCCGAGGTTTAAGACGCTCGCTTCTTATGCATGGAGCCGCATGTTCGAAACCTACCAACGGCAAAGTACCAATGTGACGTTTTTCGAAGATTATTTAGACACCACTGACAAACGGCGAATTAAAACATCGTGAGGAAACCTAGGCTTGCAATATCTAGTCATAAATTTGATATTGCCAATTGTATTGAGCAAACGTGGTGATTAATGCTCAAACCATCTCCGTGTAAAGAGAAGAGAAGAGGCCTTTGGTCAACAGTGGCCACTTGTAGGCTGTTGAAGTGAGTATGTTTAGTTGAAAAATGAATATGAAAGCACTAAGAGAAAGTACTTTGAACTCTTAAGGAATCGTGGTTAAAGGTACTTTACATTGCAATTCTAATATGAAGTTCTTCTTCGCAACATGAAGTAAAATCTCACTCCGTTAACAATAGCAGAGAGTGCCCCAAAACAGGGTCAATAAGGAGATTTATATAAAATATGTTTCGCAAAATGTTTGCCCTACAATTTCTAGAGTAATTCGTTTGCGTTACTATAGACATTACTTTCGCATGACATCACTGGGGCGGACACGAAATTTCATTCCTTTGCGCGACTCGCGATGGATATATTAGTCCGTTAGGTCTATAATAAGCCAACATTTTTGCACACGACAGTAAGCATTTAAAATATTTCGTTGGAAAGAGGAATATATTATATATTTTAAAAATATTTTACGTGTTAAAAATTAAAGGCGAGGAATTTCTTGTTGGAATTAAAATTAAAATTGTGATGGGATGTTGCCTTTTCCGCTAGTAACTGGCAATGGAATAATAAATTAATCGTAGCGAGCTGATAAAGTGCTTTTTCCGTAACGAAATTGCTGAATTTTCTTGTTTGATACATGTTGTGTTAAATTTATTAATTTTATTCAAAACGTAATTATATTCAGAGCGAATTGTGTACTACAAAGTGACAGATTATCTTGAAGATAAGAAAGTTCGGGCCTCCGATAACCTCGCTC